ATGAGGCTTCTTGGTCTTTGTTTAGCAATGAATAGAAACTACCAATATCCAAGGTCTCTTTGAAATACCAATTCTTTTTTTTTTTTTTTTTGCTTTTATTGAAAAGGATCCCTATGTGAAAAAGAATAGAAAAAGTGTGTAGATTAAAAGATTCTATGTAAACTGATTAGAGTAGAGGTTGGGAATTTTCAAGTAGAAAACTAGATTGTAAATGTTTCCCTTTCAGAAATAGCTGAATGGGTACTAAACCAATTTTTATCTAAACTGAATTTTAATCCACATACAAAATTCTCTGAATCACTGCACAGATTTTATATTTCATTCTGCTAACATTTATGGAACTCTGGGTTTTGCTTTATTGATCTTGCTATTCATGCCTTAAAGCTCAAACATTGTTCAGACCAAACCTATCACTGATGATGTTCAAATGAGTTGGATTGTGTTTTATAATACTAAAGTCTATTGCATCCAGCAGCTGCTCCCTCCCGCCAGTGTGATACATAAATACATGTATAGGCAGACACTGTATCTTTATTAAGGTGTTCTCCTTTTTATAAAGCATTTAGTTGCAGTCTTTATCCTCCACATCCTTTGAACACCTGCACTGTGTGAGCTGTACTTGGAGAATAAACTACCTAAAATTATTGTTAGTGATAACTTCAGTTTTTGACAGACTATTAGGCCAAAGTTGACATATATAGAATCAACTGCTTCTTCATAGACTAATAGCCACGGCCAGTTGAGTGACTGCCTGTGGGACCTCTGCCCTTAGAAAGCTAACATAGGGATGGATCCTGGCAGGGGTGGTGCAGGAATATTTGAAATGTCATTGTTGTTCTCTCTTTGGTGGTGCCACAGGGGTTAGAAACATCACTTATTGAAATTTTTTACTGCAACACAAAAGACCCAAAAAGACCTGTTCCAGAATCTTTAGGTCTCCTTTATTCACTTTGCTGCAGGTGGGAGATCAGGCCTGAGAATGTAATTAGTTGTATACGAAATTTTATTTTACTGTCTTCTGCAGCACACGCCCAGGCATTGGTGCTCCCTTCTAGTGGTGACTGTATTCACTGGTAATAACCACTCAGCAACACATCCAAAATAATTTAGTTGCAAGAAACAAGTTATTTAAACCCTTGGATCTCTTAATATTCCCCAATCTTCCTTAAATATAATGACTTTGTAGTGAGTAATTTTAGAATCAGACTTAGTAAGTTATATCAGCGACAAGCAATCAAGTCCAGCTGATTGATAATTTGGCCTGGAAATACTGTGATTTTCTTTTTTTAGATGACCAGTAGGACATCTGAAGTTATCTTTTCATTCTCTGAGAAAAACATTATCATAAAGTATTGCCCCAGGACTCTTGTATTACATCATTGAGATACAGTTGTATTATCCCACGTGATTGCTAAAATCCCAGATTCCTATGCTATATTCTAGACTTTCTGAGTCAGAATCTCAAGGATAGGGTGAAGAAACTTCTTTTTTAATGTAATTTAATCTGGATTCATCTCTCGTTTTACTGATTGACATTGGCAAAACAATTATCTGGAAATAATAAAAATTTTATTCTAAATATATGATGATGCTGCCTAGTAAATCATCTTTCGGATTTTCAAGTACTCTCTATTCTTCTGCTCCTGTTCGTGCAACATCAACCAGGACACTTCTGGTATGTTTGAAACAGGTTGAAAATTGAATCTGGTATTGCAAGTCCACACTTTATCACATGCCAGCTCAATAAATGAGCATGCCACATATATGAACTTCTCAAATCTCAGCTGCCTCATCAGAAAATGTAGTGCTTATATTTTTTGAGGAATCTCCATTGTGCTTTCTATCAGTTTATACCTAACAATAGAATTTCAATATCCCCTTCTTTCCAGATCCTCTGCAACATTTGTTGTTCTTATAATAGACAATCTTATTGATTTGCATTTCCTTAAAATGAGATGATGGATATCTTTTCATGTGCCTGTTGGCCAATTGCATGTCTATTCAGATACTCTGCTCATATTTTAATCATATATATATATGTGTGTATATATATATATATGATATTAACCCTGTGTTAGATGTATGATATTTAAATATCTTCTCTCAGAAGGATGCTTTTAAGCTTTGATGGTAGCTTCTCATTATGCAGAAACTTTTTAACTTGAACCAATCCCATTTGTTCATTTTTGCTTTTGTTTCCCTGCTGTTGGAGTTGAATTCCAAAATATATCTCTAAGATTGATGCCAAAAAGTATATCTTCTATGTATTTTATGGTTTGGAGTCTTTAATCCATTTTTAATTAAATGTTGTATATGGTGTTAGACAATGGTCTAGTTTTATTAGTTTGCATATGATTGTCAGTTTTCCCAACACTATTTGTTGAAGAGACTTTTCTTGCTCTAATGTATGCTCTAGGCTCGTTTTCATAAATTGCTTGTACAGTTCTGGGCTCGCAATTCTGTTTCATTGATATGTGTCTGGTTTTATTCCAAATACGTGCTATTTTAGTTACTATTATTTTGTAGTATAGTTTGAATTTGGGAGTGTAATACTTCGATCTGTTACTTTTTTACCAGGGTTTTATATTTGAGATCTTCTATAGTTTCACATTATTTCTAATGGCTCTTTATTGAAATCATTGGAATTTTCTACATTTATCATTTGCAAATAGTGATAGTTTGGCTTCTTCCTTTCCATTCTAGTTGCTCTGGTTATGCCTTTCAATACTAGTATTGCTCCTGATCTTAGAGAAGAGAAACTTGTAAGCTTTTCATTGAGTGTAATGTTGGCTGTGAGCTTGCCATATACAACCTTCCTTATGTTGAGGTATATTCCTTTCATACATGCGTTTCACTGAAGATTTTTATCTTGAATCTTGTCAACTGTCTTTTCTATAGCACCTGTTGATGTGTCATAGTTAGTGATTTGTGTATTTTGAAACAGTACATTTATAGTAATTGGTTTACAGTATTGCTGATACACAGGCTTTGAGATATTTAATAGTCAGGAAAATATATAGTCCAACTAAGTTTACTTAAAATATTTAGTTTTCCCTAAAGTGGAAAAACCTAACAAGCAACATTAAAATGGTACTTCGGAAAACTTTAATAAAGTATAGTCACTTTCATAATGAAGGAAGCTTGCACATTTAATAAAGTATAGTCACATTCATAATGAAGGAAGTATTATCAAGGAGCTCTGAATGTCTCTATAGTGTCAACTATTGTTGTATAAGGTATAAAATGCAATGATTTTGCTAATTACTTATAATATGGTTAACAGATGGTGACATTTAAATTTGTGGTAGAAACAAGTGTGCAGGCTTGCATGGTTACCTGGCACTCTATATGAAACTTTTAAGGATATACATATGTCAGGGTGCTATGATTTTAAGAAAAGTAAGATGTATCATAATTATCCACTAATATAGATAACACTAATGAATTCTTTCTTAACTGGGAACCAGAAACTGTGTGTTAGGAATTGCTACTGCTCCTTGGATTATTTACTATTAATCTGTTTTTGTGCTGGCATTCTTGTTGCTCATGTAAAATGAATCTCACTTTAAAGTGGGCTTTGAGGGCTTCTCCTGGTGGCACAGTAGTTGAGTGCTGGGCTGTGAAGCTGCCCGCAGCCTCTGTAGCACCGGTTCGATCCCCGGCCACCTGCGAGAGTCCCACATGGCACGCAGACCTCTCCTGCCTCCCGCTGCTCCCCTCAGCAGTGTACTTCAGTCCTTCTGCCTGTTCTGCTCCCCGCTCTGGCTCAGGTGATTCTCTTACCCTCCCACGCTTCTGACTGTACCCAATGCTTGTAAAAATAAATAAATCTTTAAAAATAAAGTGGGTTTTGACAATGTCCAATGGATATTATGTAGTTAAAATTGTTATAATAACTCTCTATATCTAAAGAAAGAAATCGAGGGGGTGATTATTCTAGTAGACATCTGTCTTCTTAAATATCTAAAAATATGCATGGTTTCTGGTTTCATTTCATTGATGTAACTAATTTCAACATACTATAAAGATCTTTGAAAATTTATAACATTTGCTTTAGTGTCGTTATTATTCATTTTATATTTATTTGACTAAAGAGCAGTATGCAACCAATGGAAGAAGTAGGACAATTGTCTCCTACTTTTGATAGAAAGGTAACATACCTGTTACCCTCCTATTCCTGAAAGAGAACATACCTTTCTCTGTATGTTTAAGAAAGCTCATCTTGGCTGTTGCATAGGTGATCCACAAGGGAATCTGGTTTATTACAAGGTTGTACCTCTCACCTAATTCCCACACATTTGCTTTATGATATGCTTTCTAAAATAGGAAAACAAAGGGTAAATATCTCATGCAAGCATTAGCCTCATCTTGTGAGTTTTTGTGTATTGAACTGGTGAACATTATGGGGCATGTGCCAAGTAATGAAAAGTTTGTAATTCAATTGACTCTAAGTCATGTTGGTCTTCTACTAGTGCAGAAGGGAAGAGGAGTAACAGTGACAGACCTTTTACTCTTTGCCTGAGAAAAAATGTGCATTGTACCTTATATAGTAAGATTTTTTTTGTTTGTTTTCTTAAGTCCTATGAGTTTGCTTTCTTTTCTTCTGGGCCCCTTATTGATATATAGGAACTATTAATATATCTTTTACAGCTTTGGCTATGGCTAATTAAACCACACAAATGGTGTTACACCCAGGGATGAGCAACAGAGTCAAACCATTACCATCCATAGGCATAAGGGAGGAGACTGTACAACAGGAGCCTTTAGAAAATGTTGAACCATGAAAGAGCAGAGGAAATAAACATCACAGTCTCCTCTTGTCTGCCAGTTCCTCCCACTGTCCAGAATCCAGACCCAGCAGCAGAGTTCTAATACGAAAAGGGAACTAGGCAACAAAAGCCATACTTTGTTGTTTTTTTTTTTTATTTTTGCATAAGAATTAATTTGAAATACATGAAACAAAAATAAAATGGGCAAAATCATATTTTTCTTTCCCCCAGGTAACTTGGTCAGCTGCTGATTTTTATAGACTCAGAAAGAATCAAGCAGAGACATGCTAGGAAAACCTGGCACATCTGGAGTGAGTACATCCATTCCAAATGCATCAATGACAAGCCTTTCAAAGTGATGACTTTTGGTAAGTGGAACCTTAACTTTATATTGTAGCTTTAATCAAGGGACTCTGAACTAAGCCAGTTCTATGTTATTTCTGATTGAAATCCAGATGGGAGTGGTGCTTTCCTTTAAAGGCTGGTCAGGCTTTATTGGTGCTATGGAAAGTGGAGATCATCAAATGATATCTTACTTTATCTGCTTCTGACAAGTATGATCCTCTATTTCAGAGCATGTTATGATTTCTGTTCCTAGAAACAAAGGAAGAAAAATTATTAAGCCATTAAAAACCCTTTTGAATATTCATAACAATATGCCCATGCATGGTTATTTAGAACAGGAAGTCACTACCAGATAAATAAGTTGAAAATAAATATTGTTTCTTCCTTTATCCTTAGTCAGTCACTTTTGAGGCAACTACTTGTAGTTAATCTTAATTATTGCTGAATTCTTGCTTTGGAGTCTCTACTAGCAGTAGTGTGCTGACTGCGGGGAGCTGTCCACATTAAAATTAGTATTTGAACAAATAAAATGGTTTACTTGTTATATTAATAATGGATTAATAGTGATGGAAAATCAGTTGGCTAAGTAAGTACCTGAGATTTTCTTAAACAGAAATGTCCTTGAGAAGCCAATTTTAAAAAGATAGATTGACAGACTTTCTAAATGTGATAAACGTATGCCTAAGAGGTTATGATATAGGGGGTTTATAATGTGAGGATGTGTCTAGGTATGTATGTGTGAATATGTGTATGTGTATGTATGTATGTATGTATGTATTTGTGGGGGAGAACGTAACAGTGCCAGCTACAACATATTTAATTGGGAGTACACATGTCTTCTCAAAAATCTCTGCATCAGATTTATTCTTAAGCTTAACTTGACTGTAATTGGATTACTTGGGCATGAACTGAGTCTAAAAATGCTCAGAAAAGTATGACAATAATAGGTTATGTGATAAGACACTGTCTTAGTTACCATAATTCTCATCCTAAATTTCAACGTCTAGCTCAAGCTAACACCATAGCCCTGGTCCCAGATATTTTCCAAGTTCTAGTTCAAATTCAAGCTCAAGATCATCACCATGACACCAGTCCTATATCCCCCCCCCTCCCCAGTTCTAGTTCACATTCTAGTTCAAGTTCATTACCATGATGCCAATTCCAATGACCCTCCCCCCCCTTCTAGCTCAAGTTCAAGTTCATTACCAGCTCAGGTTCAAGTTCACGTTCAAGTTCACATTCAGCACGAGGCTGCTGGTCCCAGATTTTTTTTTTTAAGATCCCAAGTTCTAGTTCAAGGTCAAGTTCAAGTTCATTACCAGCTCAGGTTCAAGTTCACGTTCAAGTTCACGTTCATCACCAGGCTGCTGGTCCCAGACATTTATTTTTTTTGGTTCAAGTTCTAGTTCAAGTTCTAGTTCAAGGTCTAGTTCAAGGTCAAGTTCAAGTTCAAGTTCATTACCAGCTCAGGTTCACGTTCAAGTTCACGTTCATCACCAGGCTGCTGGTCCCAGAAATTTATTTTTTTGGTTCAAGTTCTAGTTTCAAGTTCTAGTTCAAGGTCAAGTTCAAGTTCATTACCAGCTCAAGTTCACGTTCATCACCAGGCTACTGGTCCCAGAAATTTTTTTTTGTTTGTTTCAAGTTCTAGTTCAAGTTCTAGTTCAAGGTCAAGTTCACGTTCATTACCAGCTCAGGTTCAAGTTCACGTTCATCACCAGGCTGTTGGTGCCAGATTTTTTTTTTTTTTTTTTTTCCTCCCCCAAGTTCTAGTTCAAGCTCAAGTTTAAGTTCATTACCAGCTCAGGTTCACGTTCTAGTTCAAGTCCAAATTCATTACCATGCGTGTGGTCCCAGATTCCCTCACACACACACACACCCCCCCCCCAAGTTCTACTTCAAGTCCAAGCTCAAGTTCATTACCAGTTCAGTTCAGGTTCAAGTTCTAGTTCATCACCATGATGGTACCGTGTGTTGCTCTTCCCTGCCCCCCCCCCCAAGTTCTAGTGTAAGTTCTAGTTCAGGTTCAAGTTTAAGTTCATCACCATGCTGCTGGTCCCAGTGTTTGTTTTTTTCTCCCAAGTGCTACTTCAAGCTCAAGTTCAAGTTCATTACTATGATGCTGATTGCCGATTTTTTCCCAAGTTCTAGTTCATCACCATACTGCTGGTCCCAGCTTTTCCAAGTTCTGATTCAAGCTCAAGCTCAAAGTCAACCTCATTACCATAATTCTGGCCCCAAATTGTGAGTTCTACCTCAAGTTCAAGCTCTAGTTCAAGTTTCTAGTTCTATATAGTGGGGGTAGGGTTTGGTGGGGTGGGACTTGGAGAGGGGGGAGGTGGCACTTATGAATGGGAGGAACCCAAGTTGGGAGATGGAGGTACTAAGGAAGCTAATTGTAGCTAAGGAGGATGAAATTGGGGCGGTTGTAATATTGAGGGCATTAGGATGGGGGATGGAAGCTAGGGAGGTCAAGCAAAGGAGCATGGGGGGGGTCAGTGGATATTATGGTGAGGGAGCATGTAGAAGCGGAAATAGGGCATAGGGGAGGGACCAAGGATGGGAAAGGTGGGAGGAGGAACCAAGGTTATGGGGGGGATTGGAAATGGGCTGGGGATAGGATGGGAGATGGCTGGTGGGTGCTTTGGCGTAGTTGGAGCATGGCGGATAGATGGAGATGCTGAGGATGGCAGTAGGAAGGGATGAATTTGGGTAGATGGGAGTTAGTGTGTATTGCAGGGAGGAGTGAGAGTCAGTTGGATAGATAAAGGGAAATTAGAAGGCGGGAGAATGTCAGGGAGGGCAGGATGGAGGAGGAAGATGTGAGGAAAGGGGTAGGGAACTGGAAGATGGGGAAGGGATGATGGATAAGGAGGTAGGTGGGAATGGGAGAGTGAGTCAGGGTGTGTGGGAGGGAAGAAGGAAGGAAGAATGAGGAAAGAGCAGAGAAACCATAATCTAATGATGTAAAGTTTTCATTTTAAAAGTGTTATAATCAGATTTTTAATGTCAAACCCAGAGTGACCATACGGGAAAACCTGTACTATTTACACAAACAGGATACTACAAAATATATCAAAACACTAAAGTTACAGAATTTGAAGTAAGGAATACTTAATCTACAAAATGGTCTGGAATTACTGAACAAAATGGCTAAAGACTAATCTTTCATGTCAATGAAAGTAAAATTACTGCATCAAAAATATCCTGCTCTTCATTGTAAAGTCGAACATCTCCTTTCTATGATAAACTTCAGTGTCCCATGCTTCTGTGAAACATAACACCCTTAATTGCATTTACTCTACCTGTTCTATTTTCAGGTAATACTACTGTTATCAATGGCTAAAGAAAAGAGCATGCCCACATTAATTCTGTAAGCCAGTGGCAGAGAGACATTCCAACTGCCCAGAATTCTGTGAAGTATAAATGAATGTAAGCAGTAATGAAAACAATCTTCAAGAAATCACATTTGTGTTGAAATAGGAAAGATATATAAATAAAAATAAGACTTTAAGGGGCCTCCCCAGTGGTGCAGCCGTTGAGCGCTGGGTTGCGAAGCTGCCCGCAGCCACTGCAGCACCAGTTCGATCCACGTTCACCGGGCGAGGGGGCCACATGGCGCGCAGACCTCTCCTGTCACCAGCTGCTCCCCTCAGCAGTGTATTTCATCAGTCTGGCTGCTCTGTCTCTGGTGAATTATCTCACCTTCCTGCACCTCTGACTGTACCCAGTGCTTGTAAAAAATAAATAAATCTTTAAAAAAAAAAAGACTTTAAATTTGTACAAATAATTTATATGCTTTTTGTCTTGTCTCCTTTAACTACCAGAGCTGCATTTCACATGCTAAATTGATTAGTGCTTATTACATGACAGTGTATCCATATTGCCCCAGTATCTTTCATCATTCAAAAGACTGTCTTTTTGAGGCACACTATTAGGGGTGTCCCCGAATGAGATTAGTTTGCCAGACCCTGCAAATAAGTGACACTGCTTAATAGGACAATGGCACCTGTTTCTAATTAACCTTGGCATGTTCTTTGTAGTTGGTGGGGTTGGGGGTAACCCATGCCATATTCCAGCAAACACTGTCATCTTAGCTGACACAACTGAGGTTGGATACAACAACAGAAGTGTCACTTTAAGCTGTCAGCTCAAGATTTTTTTTTTCCAGGAAGCTAGAGAGTTTGCGTTTCATTGTCTAAGACACACAACTGAGCATGTTCTTGTCAGTGAAATGAAATGTTGTCACAAAGTAGTAGGTTCCTGCAGCTCCCTAAATGCCATAGCCCTGATCTTTCACTGATCTCACGGTGGTGTTGCTTTCTCTCATATAAGGCAATAGGTAGATATAATCACTCACGTTCTTTAACGTCATACTTGGCATCAATTGCTGGGAAATGACCCATGATAGTGCCCTCCAAGGCAGAACTCTGAGCCATCCAAGTATCTAAATCCAAAAATGAAAAGGAAATAATTTTTCATCTCAGAGTCACATGCACACTTATATCAATCTATGGTGGTTGGGCTGCCTGGGGTATGCTTTGGGGAAGTGTTTTAAGTTTGTGCCAGGCTCAGCAAAAAATCAAAATCTTTTACTCTCTCCTAGCTTTCCTTCAACCCTCTATTATCTTAAAATTAAACCATCCTGTTCCTAACCTTCCTCCCTTCAATATCTCATTCCAATCATCTTGATTCCACCTTCATTTATTCCATATTCAACATAGACCTGGACTAATCAATTATTTCAACTACTTTCTTACTTTCCACTCCCTTTTCACTTTATCCTCCTGTTACTCCTGCCCACCCAATGTTCCAGTATCGATATATACTGTTATTTGTATGCCTTAACTGTAATAACCTATGCATTGCTTAAAAATGAAGTTAAATCTGTATGACAAGAAACATGCATAAAGTTGCTACAATGTGTAAGACACCATCCTGCATTTGTAAAGATATAAATAAAATTGATACCTTTTCATTGCATGCCTACTTCATGTTCAAATGAGTTCTCTTTCAGTGTTTAGCAACAGTGGTACTTATGAGTCAAATAGGGCATTCAATTCATATTCTAACCTAATCAAGATCTTCCAAAAGTTGGCATATTCCTATGTACACTTTCAAAGAGACTAGATTTGAGTAGAATAACTTGAATTGGAAATTTTCCTAAATCATTTGGGTCCATATTCCTAAACTATTCTGATTCAAGTTAATCATGATAAAGGATTAACTTAAGTATGTTTTTCTACATAGTTCATTGATTTAGGTAGTTGTTAGATCTTTGTGTTTGGAGCTGTGAGTGTTTGAGAGAGAAGGTAAAAGAGAAGGAGAGAGATATATGTGTTGATCCAAGAGATTGTTATTTAATTATATGCTGTTGGTTTTGTCTGCTTTTTCAGTTAGAGGAAACATAATTATGCAATAGTTTCCCATTTATTATTGGCTAATTTAACATTATTTAAGTTACAATTTTATTTGATATTATACAAATATCCCAGAACTGAAATAACTCCAAGTTTTTTTTTTTATATATATCACTGTATTAATAGTATTGGATGAATCTTCTAATTTTATCACTGTTCATTTTATCTATTCATAGATTTTTTTTTTTTTACCTTAGAGGTGAATTAATATTTCCACTGGCTGTTTCACAGTTGCATTTAAAGAGACATCCACATGCAGAAACATTTTAACCTGGGAAATAGAAATTAAGAATTTGTTAAGTTTTTGAAAGGATGAAATAGCATTCAAAAGGAGAATAATCTTAACAATGGTTAGTTAACTAGGAGCAGTTAAGTCAATGCTGTTAAATCTAGATTTTAAGTTTTATAGATGATGAAAATAAAATAATGAAGTGGAGTGGTATTAAATTGATTGGGTCAGCCATAAATTGATTCTAGATTGCTGAGACACCTTGCAAATGAAACTTCAGAACACAATGAAAAACAAAACAAAAAAAAAAAAAACTGACCAGAATCTTCTATAGAAACAATTCTGTCTATCCTTCCCAGTGATATTTTAGTTATAATATTCTTCTTGGATCAGTTGAATTGAATCACCAGTTTATTGTCAAAAAGCTCAAGATTTCGAATTTAGGTGATTGGAAGATGACTGGTAGAATTTTCCTAAATTTCAGCAGGTTTTAGTCATTATGTTCTTAAAATATCCAATAAACATGGTAACATTTTTCTATTTCATCATTTCATTAAAGGGTTAAATATGGGAGTAAGTAAATATAAAATGTTTAGAGTTTTTATAAATAATCGGTAGGAGAACAAAGAAACAGTGCTGCCTGCCAAAAATGGCTTAGATGGTTATTAACAACTGCTCAAATTTGTAGTTTCCACCATTTATTATATTTTACGTGTATGTAATTTTATAGCACCTTCTATCTACACATATCAAACGTTTCCACAACCACCATTTTCTCAACCTCTTAGTGTTTTTTTTTTTTTTTTTTTTTTTTAAGTTGCACAAATGGAGAAACTGGGGGAGGTTAATTGGCTTTTCACTGCATTAAAAGGTGAGTCAGTGACAGAGCCAGAAATAGACACCAAGGATTCATTTCTCCATCCTGCTGCACATCATGACAAAGAGCTTTCTGCTTATAAATACATTTAATGACATGGTTCCTGGAACTGCTAATTAGGGTAGTTTTAACAACCCACCTGGTTTCAGAGCTTGATAGAAGCTTCCAAAGTTGGGCATGTTTTGGTGAAAAGTTGGGGGGAGGTTGTATCAATCTTGTGAGATTTAGGAACTTTATGATGGACTTAGAGCAACTTAGAAAGATTAAAATGATAAAAATATGTGCATAGTTACCTCCACATACAATAGTAGTCACATACAAAAGACATACACATAAAAAATGGAGAACACAATCTATAAAAGCAAACAGAATCAGAATTGACCTTGTCTGTTTCAGTGCCATATGTGACATATATTTAAGTTTCTATCAGTGATGAGCTTCTATGATCAATGAACTGATAGACATGAGAGCAAAGTGGCTGCTGAAACAAGTAAGAAGTTAATGTGACCATAACTTTTATTAAATGTGAGGAAATCAATGTTTTCTCAATTGTACTAGGTAGAGCATATTTACAGAACTGGTTTAATTTTAGCTGTCATTTTTTAAGAGAAAAGCAATTGTTTATGCTATTAAGCTAGTACAGTAGAAGAGACCTTTGAAATTTTTTGATGAAACATGGGGAATATTTAACTTGGAGAAGATTCATGAGAGTATTAATATTTTATGGGGAATAACACAGAAAGGACATTGTACTCACCCCATATGGCACCAAAAAAACCTAGCAGATGCTATTAGGGTGCAAGTTTAAAAAGCAAAAATGAGGAAGAGACTTCTAGTAAAGAGGTGCAAAACAGGAATGGCTCAGCCATTTCTGGGGGTCAAAAGGTCCACCCTCTATTGTTGAGGGGACTCAAGCATCAGATGCATTGTTGATTTAGTTGGAATTTAAGGTTCTTATGAGGACAGAGAACCCATTATTCTTATTGACAAGATGTGTAGTGAAGCAATAATTTCTATGGGGAATTCAGAGCACAGAAAAGAAGAAACCATTGTGGAGAAATTGGAAGGACTCAAATGAAAATGGAGGCTAGCATTTTCAGAGATAAAGAGGAACATTAGGGTCATTCTAAGGATCTGTAAGAGAAATGGGGGAAAATAGCCTGTGTTTACAAGAAATTGTCAAAAGAACAGCTTTGATAGAGTTGGGTGAATGTAAATATTCAGATTGGTAAGAAAGAAATGAGACTTATATGCAAAGAATATTACATGATCTTAGTTTGATAAATGTGTAGTAAGGAGAAAGGAAAAATGCAGAGATGTTGAACCTAGAAAGATTCTGATTCATTTTTTGGTTCAATAATATTCATTTCTAACAGACAAATTAATAGAACCAAATGGTGGTTACCACTGTCTTAGGGGAGGGAAAATAAAGGAACTGCAGTTTAACCATATAGTTCCAGGTTTGTAAGATGAGAAAGTTCTGCTTCATGATAGTGTGAATATACTTAATACTACTGAACACTTAAAGTGGTTAACATGGTAAATTTGATATTATGTGATTTTCAGTGTAATAAAAGCATACCAAAAACATCTACAAACCTGTAGTTAGGCACTTTGGAAACTCAGCTTAATGCAGCAACTTTGCATACTTGTTGGGGTTATTAAATGAGATCATGACAACATAGAGCAATGGCATATGAAGGAAAATGTCAAAAATGTTTTTGTTGATTTCCATTTTTCCATAATCCTAACCTGTCATGAATTTTATCCATAAAAATACAGGGAACAGTTACCTGAAATTACCTTTCATCTACATGATGTTGGTAAATTTTGATGACAGTTGCTAAGACAAAAATTGAATATATTCAGAAGCTCCCTTGGAAATCCTTTTAACTGTATAGACTGAAGAATAATAGTTTTTCTCAGTAACTGTACAGTTATTTTCTTCCCTAGTATTTAACACTGTTATTACTTTGTTTGAATATTTCTTAAAATAATTTACGATTGTCAGATGCAGAATGACATTTAGTCAAACAATGAGAAAATGGAACCATTAATGAGATAATGGTGTGTTTACATCTTCAATAA